GTAGGCAGTACTATTGAACAATTATGTTGCAACATTATCACTCGGCTTTTCTTTTTGATAAATGCTATCTTAATTTATTTAAATTTTCAAAACAGAATTGAAACTTAACATTGACTCGTAAAAGTGTTACATATTTTTTCATTGGAAAACAACGTCATTGATTAGCACTCTACAAGGGACGGCAATATTTTGCGTTCTTTGAATAACAAATGTTTTAGGTTCTTTACACGCAAACTTAATTACAATGTTAGCGTCTGGGAATCATTGGTGCGAGACCAAACTGATCTCACACTCATTTGTGCGAGGCACAGAGGATCTCGCAGCAGTTGGTGTGAGGTATGATTGCCTCGGAACATTTGGTGTGAGGTTTTTAACGTCGCACCAAATGGTGCGAGACTGTCCTACCCCTAAGTTTCCAGAGTGCTCCGCACCCTAAAAATGAGGTACAGAACAACCCGGTACAACAATTTTGCTTCGACCGTACAATTAAATTTAGGGTACGGACACGTTCGGAAAAAAATTGCCGCTGTCACCCGTTGATTTTCCGTTGTTTTTTCTCACAGTGTAGGTGGGTGAGTGAGCGACTGAGTGAATGAGCGCGGTGCGTGTTGTGTGAATCTTCGAGTCGGTCATTAATCTAACGCGTCCTCTCAAGGGTGAGGGTAGACCAATTTTTTTTTTCAAAGTTTCCGCAGAGGGCACTTTAGGTCAGAATCGAGTAGAGGGTAAACAAGCTGGGCCCGCTCTTCCGCCAAACCAAGTTGCCAGCTCCGCTTCGCTCCACCGGCAACTCGGTTCGGCAGGGAGCGGGCCCAGCTTGGCCTGCCGGCGGCGTTTGAGACGGGCCTTCGGCCCGTTCCTTCTGAATTTTCATGGTGTAATACATCTTCTATCCGAAAACGGGCCTTCGGCCCGTTGGAGTGACGTCTCGCTTGGACCATCTTTTTGCCAGGTATCTTTTCTGTCTACTTCGTAATCAAAACTCAACAAACGAAGTATTCTTTTCATACGCTGAACATCTTTGGCTGTGTGTGCCGCAGTTTGTAGAATACATGCAAGTTATGCCAAATCCCTTCTAAGTTATTGATGTTAGCTTATGAATAACACACCTATGAAAAGATACACAAGACTAGCCCTAGAAGAAGTTGAATATACTTCCAGGCATACTCTGAATGACTCCGAACGTGTTCGAACAACAAATAAATGTTTTTAGCAGATGATACATCATACATAACTGAAATTAATAATACTTTACTTAACGATGTGTCATTGCTTGTACTCTCGTGCGGAGCGCTGAGGCTGAGAGGCACAAGGCATGACGTCATCCAGTAGTCTGTAGGGCGCGTGGTGCGACCGTCCGCCCGTGCCCCAAAGCCCATAGCTACGCAGGCCGACGCAGGCCCCCTCCCCTTCCCCCTCCCTCCGGCGCGGCTCGGAGCTCGGCTCGGACCGTCTCGGCTGAGGAACGCGCGCGGCGCGGTAATTCAAAACCTCACTATGAAGAGACAGAACTAAATGAATTTGGAAACATTA